GGGGGGGGGTTGAGGTGGTTTGCTTTTTTTTAATATATTTTTTAAGAAAAACCTTTGAGTGCAGCAGTTAAAAAAAAAAAACTACTGCTGGAACGTTTTTTGTTTGAATTTGGTATTCCTGCCTCTGTGTCAGCCATGCCAAGAGTACACATACATTTTTATGCTTATTTGAGCCAGTAAAGAGCTTTTTAATACCAGATGTTTTAAATAATAAACACTTTGACCTGATATGGTTATGTGCACGCTGTGGGGTTTTTCAGGGTATTATTTGTATGTCGGGTTTTTGTTTTGTTTTGTTTTTTCCCCTAATCCTGCCCTAGGTAGAGTAGGAGGTAGAAAGCTTAATCTTAAGGATGGTGAGAGCTGGTGATTATGTGAGGGAGTTCATAAGGAGCTGCTTTAGAGTTTGGCCCAAACCAGACACTGTAAGTTGTCTTACTTGAAAATATTTTATGTGGGTGTACAAACCCCTTACAAGCCACCAGAGAGTCACATCCTGAGCATATTTCCCACTCACCTTTTCCCTAAAAAGAGAACTGTATGAATTCTTGCACTGCCAACTGCCTCTCCAGGCCTCTTGTAGCGATTCTCCTGACAAAGCAATAAGAAGCATCTGACCTTTTTGTGAGATCTGTCACGTTTACTTCTGCATAATTGCCTCACGTGACACTACTACAGTTAATGAATGTTCAGAGCCAGCACAAAATGAGGCCATTAATGAAAGTTACTCCTTTACTGTCTCTGATCATTTAATAATTGAAATTCTCCATTCAAAATTGTTCTTGGTCTTCATAAAGTCAAGAAGCAATGCAGCTGCTTGCAGTTAACTCACAACCTATTAAATAGTTGTTAATTAACCTGACGAGTAATTATTTTTGAAATGTTTATGTTGCAAGGTAGGGAGAATTTGAGGTTTTAAAACACTCCCATCCGAGGTCTGTAAAACTAATCAAGATAATAATTGCTCTAGTACTTAGATAAATACATTGATAAAGGAAACTTTTGACTTACGGTGTCTATGTATTCAATGAAAACCACCTTCAGATGCTAAAATTAACTAAGTTTACCTATTTTGTAACTTACTGTATAAATAAATATTGATGCTTTAGTCTGGTGTTGTCTCAATCATTTCTCAATCTCTTTAACAAAAAATCTATATTCGGACATCATGATATGTAAGTAACAGGTAGTTCCTGTGGGACTAGAAGGCAATATGGAAAAAGTGATTGCAGGCTAAGAAGGGAGATGGGCAGAAACAAATTCCTGGCTTTTGAGATTGGAGAAGAATCACTATGTTAGAAACAACTACTTTCCTGTTGTCTTATGGTAGCAGCACAGAGGCCTCCATAGCAGGATCCAAGTGTGTTCATCTCTTGAGGGTTTTATGCTTTCAGTAATAAGCCCCTTCAAAATGTTCCTCTGTCCTTTTAAAATGCTGAAATAGTAATTTAACAGTGTTAAATCACTATTAGTAAAATTAGTTAAATCAACTATTAATAATTTAACAGTTTTGTTGTTACTTGCTCAGCATGAGGTAGTACAATTAAACTACTCAAATGATGGGGGGTTTTTGGTTTTTTTTTTTGTCTAAACTGGAAGTAGTTTGCCATCAAACTTCAAGCCAAAAAGAACATTTAGGGGTTTGGCTTTTCTTTAAGTGTCCTGCCACACATCCCCATGGGGAAATTGCTGATATGGCAATTTTGCAGCTGAAATAAGGAAATTTGAAGATGTGTTTAGGATTTGAGAACAATTTTAATGCACATTGTTATACAGGAAGAAAGCTCTTCCTGTAAGGAGCAGGAGGGAGGTAAGAGGAGGCAAGAGGCTAGGTCTCTCTATGACCATGAATATCAGAACCAGTTTTATTTGTCTTTCGGTCAGTGGGTGTTAAATACAACTTTCATCTGGCCAGCTCAAATATAAAGTTGAGGCAATTCTTCCCATTTCAGTAATTTGTAGTAGTAGGGCTGGTAAAAGGTATGTTGGCTCAAAAGGCAACTGAACAACCTGATGAAAGAAAATTCGGTAGAAGCTTAATAACTAATGAAGATCTCACATCCTTTTCAAAGTAAATGAGCTGCAAGCTGTACAAAGCCATCATATTTGACTGCAGTATCTCTACAGCCGTGTCCTGTTGTTGCACTCTTTCTTCAGCAGCCACCAAGAGCTCGTGTCCTGGCCCGGGGCTGTGCAGACACCTCATGTCCGACTCATAACATTCAGTTTGTCACCTCCTGCTGCAGCCAAGGGGAGAACTGTTGCCCTTCATAAGAGGTTTTCTTAACAGCAGTTTTCTTTGGCTTATTAGCATTTGCTTTTATCTTACTGCTTCTTTCTAGAGTCTTAATTGGAATTGCAATAAATTGCTCTTTTCATTCATACTTCCTTCTGGGGGTGACTGAATTGCTCTATGTTACAGTTCTCTAGATCCTTAAAATGCAAATATTGGCTCTTCCACTGAGGATAGTGATCCTCAGATGCTCTCCGTGGCACCTTCTCCACCCTGGCAGCTGTGGGCCAACCATGTTAGCCCTGTCTCTTCACCCACCAGGAACCATACCAAGTTTTCTCTCACCTGCAGTTCTATGGAACTAGATAATCCCTTTACTCACAAAGAATTTGAATGACTCAAGTTACCAATTTGTGTTCTGGAAAGCTTTACTATAGTAATTATCAGGAAGAAGTACAGATCCTAGAGTACTTTAATGATTTTTCAGGGAATAAATGAAACAGAAGTCAACTAATCATATCCCATCAGTTGCTCTGGGTGCTGACTTTACTGGGTGAAGACATCAAAGGAAGTTCCTTCTTGTTGCACCCTGTGTATTTATTTTTAAGTTCCCATGTAAGTTAGCTAGCTTCATCTTATTACTCAACACCTCCATTTTCATTTCTCACTAGAATATTTTTTTTCCTTTCCTGTATGAAATGGTAACTAACATGCTTCATTTTCAGTGAGTGAGTGAAAACTACTGCCAAAACTTTGGTACCAAGAGCAGCACTGCAACTAGTCACCAGCTTGTTGCAAAGATTCTTTCAATTCTCAGAACATCATGGCTGGTGCATAAACAAAATTGTTCTACCACACCAAAGGTGAACGGGCACTGACTGTAGAGTTACTACAGCAAACAAGCTGTGGCTGTATTCTAGCTCCAGGGAATAATAAAAATCAGACATGATCTGGTCAGAAACCTTCACTTAACAGTTGGAGATGTCTAAAACTGAAGAATGCTTTATAGCAGCTTCTTTTCTCCACAAGCTCAGGTTCAGAGCTGTACAGCTTTATTCC